CCTACCGGGCAGCTTATGGGAAGCCAGAGTCTTTGGGTTCCGGGGAAAGGATGGTTGCAAAGCTAAAACTTAAAGTAACTGATCGAAGGGCACAACCAGGACAGAAGCCTACAGCTTAATTTGACTCATCACAGGAAATCTCGCCCAATCCAGAGGTGGAAAGGATTGTCAGATTAATAGCTCTTTCTTGTTCCAGCAGGTGCTGGTGGATGGTCGTTCTTAGCTGGTGGAGTAACGAGTCTGGTTAATTTGGATAATGAACAAGACTCTGGCATGCTAACTAGTTATGTGATCTCTGAGCAGTCAGCTTCCAACTTCTGCGTGGGACAAGTGGCCTTCAGCCACCCGAGACTGAGCGATATCAGGTCTGGGATACCCTGAGCTGTCCGGTTGCATGCGCACTACAGAGGCTAGTGCAGTGTGTGTCTACCCTAGGCTGACAGGGGTGGGTACCTACTGAACTCCATTCGTGATGGGGATCGGGGATTGCAAATATTCCCCATGAATGAGGAATTCCCGGTAAGTGCAGGGAGGGAGGGATAGCTCAGTGGCTTGAGCAGTGGCTTGATAAACCCAGGGTTGTGAGTTCAATCCTTGAGGGGGCCATTTAGGGAACTGGGGTAAAAATCTGTCTGTGGATTGGTCCTGCTTTGAGCAGGGAGTTGGACTAGATACCTCCCGAGGTCCCTTCCAACCCTGGTATTCTATGATTGATAAGCTCGCGTTAAGTCCCTGCTCCCTGTACACACCACTTGTCACTACCACTGATTGAACAGTTTAGTGAGGGCCTTGGATCGGCCCTGCTGGCGTTGGTCAATGGCCCTGGCAGAGTGCCGAGAAGACGGTCGAACGTGACTATCTAGAGAACGTAAAAGTCCTTAAAATTTTTCCACAGGTGAAGCTGGAGAAGGCTCATTCATGGGGCTGCATGTGCTAGCTCAGCCCCCCTGACAGCAGCACAGCAGTGGTGGAGCTACACTGATGCCTGGGATGCCTCCCCATGTGCAAGGTGGGGTGCCAGGCATGCAGATTTTTGGGCAGCCCCCTCTATGCTTGTCCTGTCCTCCCCACCCCCATGGTGGGGGGGGGGGGAGAAGAGTGAGGCTATTCGAGGGGTTTTCTTCCATCAGTGCTGGTCCACCTGAATCCCTTCCTCCATGCACGTATCTGAGCTGCCCCCTGAACCGCCACTGCGCTTCTGTCCGTTCCTGTCACCAGGACCATCGTCCCCAACTGCACGATGCTTCGGCAAGCATGAGTGCTTGGGCCAGGATGGGAGGGGGTTGGCAGGCATCTGACCATGGGTCAGAAACACTCAATGCAGGTAGCAGCCGTGATGGTGCACAGGAGCTGGTTGTGAGGTGGCCCTGTCCCATGTCTGCCTCCCAGGCAAGCCGGGAAAAAGGGAAACCCTGGACCCCTGGGAGATGGCGAGGCCATGGCAGTGGTTCATCAGAGCACCCAAGGCACACGTAGCCAGCTCGCAGGTGCTGCTAACCACTCCATGTGCCATCCATCATGACCCACCTCAACCAGGATGGATGGTGGTGGGGGACACCCCAGAGGGATGAGAATTGTTTCCTTCACCCAGATCCCTCTTGCTGTCCATGCGCCTGATGGCCCAGTGAGGTGGTGGTTTAAAGACTTGCATGGCCTGAGGCAGCCTGAGAACACCCATGGGGGATGCCAAGCAGAGACTACCAGAGCCTGCCCCATTTAAATTAAGAGTCCAGGATCTCATGAACCACCTATTTCTGATGCCCTGTACCTGTACCAGTGAAAGCGGTGGCTGGGTCCTGTGCGGGAAAGGGTTTTCTGAGTAGAGTTTAAAAAGTGAACCACAAACATTCCTAGCTTGGAAGAAATAACCGGGGTGTGCACAGACTTGCCTTTACCAAGGTGCAAACTGCTTTGAGTTAATTGGAAATCAATGAAATCTGTTCAAACCTCAAGCGCCCATAAGGACATCCCAGCCCTGCCCTGCCCTCACTTAGGGCATGTCTACACTACAAACTTATGTCGACCTATGTTAGGTCCACGTGCAGCCACCACAGTACTTGCTGGTTTCTCATGTCTACACTACCCTCCTGTCAGGGGTGCACGTCCTCACCAGGAGCTTCCACTCACTGAAGAGAGGCAGTGGGGGGGGCTGAGAGTCTGGGCTCTCAGCTCCGCATGGAGCTCCCCGCCAGGAGCTGGGCTGCTGCCCCCCGTGGATCTTGGCTCCCTGCTCCCCAGTGGGAGCCCGGCTACCCACGGGGCTCCCAAATCTCAGCTGTGAGTCGGCTGCCTGCCCGCTTGAAGCGGGGAGCCTGGGGGCAGCAGTGCTCCCCGCGGAGAGCCAGCCCAGCTCGGAGCACGGCCCAGGCAGCAGCCTGGCTGGGAGAGGGCAGCCGGAAACCTGGGGGACAGCCGATTTCTGGCTGGAGCCCCCCCCCCAGGGTGACAGCCTATGTGGTGAGTCGGGCGCGCGGTTCACAGCAGGGAGCCAACCAGCCTTTCTTGTCAATCAACAAGAGCGACCCCAACAGCTGATGTAAGTAACGGCGGTGTCTACTCGGACACTGCGTCACCTAACAGCACCGACACAGGCCCCACGCCTCTCCTGGAGGCGTTAGGACGTTGGTGTAGCGGCACTTGCATTGGCAGGGGCAAGGCTGGAGCGTGGTTGATGTAAGCTGCCTTCCGTCAACCTGACTGTCATGTAGACCAGACCTTAGACCCGCTTTGTTCCCCTCCTCCCCACCTGCTCTTCCATGTGTAACTTACATCCACTACACACATGGCGTCTGGACTTGGCCCAGGGGCTCTACTCTGGAGTTATTTGCCGTGTAACCTATTTGCTTCTCTAGAGAAAGGGTAACGGGAAAGCATCATTCCTCTGTTTGTGTCTCAACCTTCACCAGCTGGGACCTGCCTCCTCGTTTGCATTACGGAGTAACAGGGAGGTTGTGACCCCGACGCCTGTGTGAGACTCCACTGGGGGTCACAACCCAGGGAGAGATCACCTAGGTAATGAACAGTGGCAGCTGAATCATGCTACAGGGTCATTCCAGGATGGCCCAGTGGTCTGGGTGCCAGCTCGTCATGCAAGAGAAATGAATGGAATTCCCTGCTCTGCCACAGACTCCTGGCGTGACCTTGGGTAAGTGCTTTAGTCTCCCTGTGCCTTAGTTCCCCGTTGCTCTGCCTGGGGGAGGGGGGGGGCGATAAATACATTCCAGATTGACAGGTGCTCTGATTCTCCAGCAGCGGAGGCTGTCTAGCATTGCAGCTCCAGATGCTCTCCTGAACCATTTATTGCTACGTAATTCTTTGGCAACGGGCTGCATCTTACTCTTTATGTTCAACAACAACTTGAAAAATTCCCCCGCCCAGCCCCATCCATTGTTGAATCCGTTCGCTTCTCCACGAGCAACGTGAGCCCCAGCGTGGCTCCATGGTGAGACGGGGGCCGTGGGAAGTCCCTGGATTTGGGAGAGAGACGAGAAGTCAAGGCGTCAAGTTTCACTCCTGACTAGTGTGGGGTGACCCACCCTTTGGGGGACTGATGGAGATGTCTTAAAGAGATCAGGGTGTGGTCAGCGCTTCCTGAACTTCTGGCTCCTTCAAAGGCAAACGTTGACATCATTCTCCACCAGTGGTACCTACGGTGAAAGCTGCAGTACAGAGAGGACTTGGGCATGTCTATCACGGTGTCCTCTATCCATGCTCAAGGTGGAGTTAGACAGCACAGAGTGCAAAGCACCCCTGCGCCAGCTACACGGCAGCTTCCACTGTTGCTCCAGTTGGTGGAGAATTCCAGCTACAAAGTCGGCTGGAGCAGACACAGCCCAGTCCTCCCGCATCTACAGATTTCCCTTTGAAAAGCACTTCAGCTTCTGGACACAAAACAGCTGTGTGTGACGGGGGGGGATCAGGGCATCCCTTGTCGCTTAGCCTGCACAGAAACCGTTCAGCCCCAGCACATGGGCAACGAGTCTCCCAGGGGGCGGGAGGGAGGACACATGACATCCAAGGGGTTCCCAGACCCCACCGAATCATGAGACTTTACATTTAGAGTTGGGTTCACTTGCTATTTATTGCGTTTATTGGCATTGGAGTCTTTAGGGGACACGTTTACAAGCGGCCAGGAGAGCTACAGACCAGCTTTTTTTGTTAACACAAGCTGACAAGGTGCAGTTATATGGTGATTCTAGGGCACAGGGCTTTAAAGAAAACACCAAATGTCATAAGATTTGTGATCAAAGCACACGTGTTGGAGCACTGAAAACAGGAGCAGAGAACGTCTTCTAAAAGGGCAGGGAGATGCGTGTCTCCGGGTGCCCTTGCCCTATGTTGGAGCCAGCGAATGAACAGACAAGGCAGCCCAGGGGCCTGGTCGTGAGTGCTACGGTGCTGGGTGACAATGGCGGGAGGCATTTTAGATCAATGGGCAATGGCTCATTAACATATATTGCAGGTGCACGGCTCCAGCATCTGTCAGCTCACTCAGGAGGGGACCCGCGATACAACAAGCTCTAGGAAGAGTCCGAGGACAGATTGCTGTTGGCGCTCTCAGAGCCTCTGGCTCCGCAGGCCTGGCCCTGCTCTCACATGCACCAGCGCTGGGGCAGGATGGAAAGCGTCCCTGTAGGAGGCTCCAAAGCCCCTTGTCCCACTCGCTCCGTGGCCTGATGCTCCTTTCCTCTTTGGTCCCCAGGTGAGGCCAGGCCGAGCGGGGATGTTCCAGTGACAGCGGCTTTGTGTTAAACGTTCAGGGGTTGGAACGTCCCTGCCGCGAAGCTGCCAGCCCAGTCACAGCAGTGTCCAGGGACCATCCACCAGAATCCCTCCAGCGGCTCTCCTCTGCGGGGGCTGCCGTGCACCAGCTGGGCGTCCTGGGGCGGGAGACAGCGGGCGGCGTTTCTGACTCAGGCAACACACCCCAGGCCAGGTCACATCGTGCTCTCTCCCCGACAACCCTGGTGAGAAAATCCCCCCGCTGGGGCAGGCTCGAATGTGAGGCAAGTCTCCATTGCTGCGGCAGAGCGGGCCCTCGGGCATCTACTCTGGTGGGGAGCAACCCAGAGCCGCACCCTCAGAGCGACAGACATGCAGCCTGTTCATGGCAGGAGGAGCCACCACCTTCCTTGGATTCCCCGTGCCCGAAAGATTTCCTGAGCTTGTCCTATGGCACCGGTAGAGAAAATCCACTCCTCTGCGCTCTCCATCCTCCACCTTTGCTCTCATTCTTCCCTGGGAGAGCAAGGCAAAGCTCCCGCTGCCGGGCACCTTGGAAGATGCTTCGTAGGGCACTGGCTTCCTCTGGGTCCCGGGGAGATGGCAGGCACAACGCAACACGGAAGCGGGGATTGTGGAGCACAAGCAGACAGGCAGCACCACAACAGAGACCACATGCCGAAGCGGCGCAGAGGGCACGGAGAGAGGGACGAAATGGCCACGCTCCCTTCCTGATCATAGGCAGAATCCTATTTACCTGAGGCAGGAGAGAGCCGAGGCGTCCGTCACTAACACGGCCCCCCATGCAGCCGCTCAGAATGCCTGGGCTAGACCCATTTTCCACACGGCTCTGTGCCCAGCTCACGGGACAGGGAACATGAGGGGTGGGCAGCTATCCCAGCATGCAAAGGGCCTTTGGTACCCTGCAGATCTGCTCTCCTGGTGCGTTCACAGCCTCTCTGCTGACCGCACTGCTCATGGCCAGGGCGCCAGGACAGGGGGGCCAGGGCCCTCCCACTTTTACCGGCCGTAAGGGCGAGCAGTGGGGGGCAGAGCCTCCAGGGGAAGGGGTGGTGCCTTGGGGCAGCATGGCACTGGGGGTGGGGCCACAGTTCAGGCACCTGTGGCCCCCCACGTTTAGGGCGTTTCCACTGCCCTCGCCCATGGCCTGGGAGCATCGCCAGAGCAATCTGCAGGCTGGGATTTCCCCTCCCGAGCGCGGACTCCTCCCCCCCCAGATAGCACCCCCGTGAGCTGGGAGCTGTCTCCGCTCTGGCTAAGATTAGTCCTCCCTCCAGGCTGCCCTGGAAGGGATCTCTACTCACACGATTCGCTGTACAGCATCCACATGACCTTGGCGCAGTTATCCAGCAGGGCTTTGGGGCGCACGGCCTTCCGGCTGCTCCCTGCGTCACCGCTGAGAACCTGCTCTACCACGTCCCAAACGTTTGTGTCCACGTTCCCCTGCAGAAACACCACACACGCGGGGCAGTAAATGGCCTGCTCCCCGGACACCTTCCGCCCCTCCCCTGCTGCCTGGCTCTCCACACCCCCCCTCCCTCACGGGCCTGAACTGCACAGCTCCCAAACCTCGAGGGGATTTAAAGGTGGGCTGTTGGATGGAGTCACCCAGCTCCATCTCGTTAGCACCTTCCCCAGCTCTAGTCAAGGCCGGGCAATGGCACTTTGGCACATGCTAAACGGAGCTGAAGCCTAGGAGGGAGCGTACGGTGTTAACCCAAGTCGCGCTGGTGCTAAGTGGGGTTTCCAGACAACTCCGGACACGGCTCCATGTGAAAGCTTTTCCGGAATGAGGCGGGGGAGAGCTCCTGCGGAGTGACTTCATGTCTGGGCAGGCCGTTCGGTTGGGTCAACTGAGCTAACCCAACTGAGAACAGCACTGGGGGGCTAGATCCCACCCTCGGACGATCCGTCCACCCCCTCCCCCACGAAGGCATTTGGCCCCATGCCATTCTGCTCTATCGAATGGCGTCCTCCACACGGCGTGACCTCACACGCATGGTACAAGCGAGGTCACACTGCGTGGGAGACGCCATTTCGTTTCTGTATGTTGCCTATGGAGGCGTCGCCCAACTATGCGTGTCACTGAAAAGGTGAGACCATCCTAGCCTAGCAGCTGTCTATACACAAGTTGTGCCACTTTACCTGTACTGTGCTAGGCAACACAGTACAACCCCTAGTGTGGCTGCAGCTGTAGGTACACCGGTGTCTACAGTGTGTAGATTATTCCTGTATGGAGAGGGGAGCCATACTGGGACAAGGCACCTACCCCATGGGTTATACTGATATAACTACACCAGTCATACATCACCCCCCGCGCCCACCACCGACACAGTTATACCAAGACAAACTCTGTGTAGACCAAGCCCTAATCTAGTCCCAGCCTGAAAGAGCAACAGAGAACCACCAGCGCTCCAGCTGTGAGCCGACGCTTTCAGACATACTTTGGCGGCTTAGCCACACAAGCCAGCAGCATTGCTTCAACTCTCCGCCCAGGCTCCTTGTCATTCCAAAGTCACCTCACGCTCAGACATCGGCAGAGAAACTCGCCCGAACAACAGGCCTGGAGCTTTCATCACAATCCTCAGCCACTAAAACAAACACCCACACAGACAGACTGGCCAAAACAGCAGGACTTCAGGTCAGGCTGACCGAATTTTTCCACCACATTTGAAGATGGAGGGAGGGGAAAGTGTTGCTTAATCGGCTTGTTTCAAACTCCTTGTTTTCAGCTTCTTTTTGTTCACATCTAGGTCTTTGCTGGCTTTGCTCCGGCATTTTTCTACCACGTTAGATACATGGCTCCTGAATGACAATTCTGAGTGTCCCCTCACTTCCCACACACAGATAATACCCCTACAGTTTAGGGCAAAGATAGCTGCCACGTCAGTTCTCATCCAAGGCCTCCTACAGAACCAGGAGACACCAGATATGAGATTCACGATACTAAGACACGAAAACCCTCTAAGGAACACAAGTCCCCTCTTGGTCTTTCTCTATAGACACACAATGAAGGGAACATGTCAGCTGATAGATCTCGCCTTAGAAGTCATCTTGAAAGTGACGCTAACCTCAGTGACTGTGAAGCCCCCAGGCCCGTTGGAGTTTTCTAGTTTAGGCATTTGGGTGAGCTCCTGTTCTAGTTTACCCTGGGCTAACCTCGGTCTCTGTTCCTAACCTAGACAATCCTGAAGAGAGGGAATCATGAATCCACCACTGAATGGTAGAGTCCGAAACAGACCGGGTATGTGTAGCAGGAAAAGAGCAGCTTAAGGGTGCCCAGCAGGAGGGTGTGTGGGAGAATTCTCCCCTGCCACACAGGAAATGCAAGAGGAAGGCCCGGGCAGCAGGAGGCGCTCACCCACACTGTAATTCAGCCAGGACACCGAGGTTCCACACTTGTGAAATGGGCTGTGGGATCTTTAATCAGCACCCCCATTTCCCCTCTCCCAATGGCCAGAACCTGGCCCCTGAGCACTAGGCTGTGGCACTGGCTCAGGGCTGACTCAAAGGGGAGACTGCCGGCTGATCCTGCCCCGCCCTGGCTGGTCCCAGCCCACCCGAAGGGGGATCTGACAGGATGACAGCTCAAGGGGCTACATTGGTGGTGACACCAATTCTGGTGCTAGTAGGACTTGTAGGTGAAGCACCGTTTCTCTTTGAAAGTCAGTTCTGCTGGAGGGTCAGTGACAGCAAAGGCAGGTCCCTGAACAACAGGCATTTCCCGAATGCAAAGACAATGCTTGTATCTTCGCCAGTCAGGTCCACCATGGTCCTGCAGCAGGATTGTAGAGAGAAAGGACACTAAACAAAGTCATCTGCATCAGCTGAGAATCAAACTGAGGCCTCCTATGTAGCAGGGGACAGTATTGCCACAGAAGAACCAATGCTGCAGCTGGGAAGTTTCTTTCACTTGTGATTTGATGTTTCACTCACATGAGTCACCATCATCTAGAATGTCAAAGATGACCTGCCAAAAACTCCAAACAAGACGGGCTTTCTGCCCTTCTTTGCTTCTGGCTGATGGATAAAGGAGGGCTGGCAATGAACATTTTCCTTTTCCCTTCTTCTTTACATTAAAAAAACAGTGGCGCTTACTAAAAACCAGAGCACAATTTGGGCAGAAATTTTCATGACAATTACATGAGTTGTTTGTTTTTTAATTGGGTCAAAATTTCAATGAACACGTGAGTCAGAATTTTATCATCTCTTGAGCTGATCAAACAATGGGGCAAAATATTCACTATAACTTCCATCAGGAAGGTCACCCTTTTATGACAACGTTTGAAACGTTGATGAAAAATGTCACTGAAATTGCGTATTTTAAATGGTTTTGACCAGCTGTGTGTGACACTGCAAACCAGGTACTGGCTCATGCCAAGGCCCCCACACCTCACGTGAATGCTGACAGATACCTGGCTGGGATCCGTCCGGCTCGCCTGCGTGTTAGTATTGTTAAGAGTTATAAAAAATGTGCTTAGTGCTTAGACTTTATTGAATGCTTGTGAACTGATATCTGCTTTCATCTCCCTTATAACATCTGTAGCCCATATTATAAGGTAATATCTGAGCAGCTGCATTGTGAGCCTCTGTGACTGCGTAAATCACCAGATAGGAGACATTAATTAGCGTGAATACATGTCCTGTTGGAGGCTGCATATGTCCTGCACCACTCAAATGCCCCCCGAGCGCTGGGTTGGGCCACCGAACTCCCCCAGCGCCAGGCTGGCCAAACTCCCACCCCCCCAAGCGCCGGGCCGGGGCGGCCAAACCCCTGGAGCGCCGGGCCGCTCAAACCCCCGCCCCACCGAGCGCTGCACCGTGCTGCTGAACCTCCCTCCCCCAGCGCCGGGCCGCCGAAACCCCCGAGCGTTGGGCCGGCCCGGCCAAACCCCCCCCGAGCGCCGCGCCGCCCCACCGAAACACCCCCCGTGCTGCCCGGCCAAAACAAACAAAAAAACCAAAAAAACACCGCGAGCGCCCCCCGCCACCCCAACGTTGGCCGCCCCTTCTAAGGTGCCGCCCCAAGCACGTGCTTGGTCGGCTGGTGCCTGGAGCCGGCCCTGCTTCCAGATCCCCTCTAGGGGATGGCCCAGGCCTGTGGCACTGGCAGCAGGTGCTAGCTGTAGTGTTTGCGGGTCCCCTTTTCCATCTCGGTGAGGAGCCCTGGGTGACAGAACCAGGCACGGTGTGGTTGCAGGGAAGTCAACAGACACAACACAGAGGGTGCGTTGGTGGTTCAGTGGCCAAATTTGTACCTCCAGTACCCAAGACCCGTGTTTGATTCCTGTCCCGCCTGCCCTCCGTTCGTCCCTGGAGTCGCCCTGGCCACTCCGCACTGAGAGCGCCGCCTGTCTGCTCTGCGGGGGGTGATGGCAGGGTGACCCCCTCCCTCCACCCATGTACCCGATTTCCCCTAAGCTGGGGGGACGGGACGGGGGGTTTCTGTGCTGCTGCCTCTCTGGGGCCCGAGCTGCGGGCGGCTGCTTGTGTCTGAACGAGCCTAGTTCAGGCTCCTGACCCAGAGTGATTTCTTAAAGAGACAGCGCAGTCACTCACTCAGGCACACACACACACTGCCCTCAACACAAAACACACTGTCACACACTGCCCTCAACACACACACCAGGGCTCCCTGCATCCAGGTCCCTTTCCCCACCTGGGCTGTGCTCTCCTGCCCTCCCCTTACGCAGCCGGCAGGGAAAGTGCCCTGGATGCAGGGAGCCCTGACGGCTCCTTGCTCCCCCTCCCAGCCCCCCAGGGCTGCGCGGGGCGGAGGCGCAGCAGTGCAGTGGGGGAGCGAGCAGCAGTGCCAGCTGCTTTGTGCATGCAGGTCAGGTTCCCCACGTGGGTGCAGGAGGGGGATGCAGGGTTTGGGGTGAAGGGGGCACAGTGCAGGGGTTAGGGGCACAGGAGGGGGCAGCTGTTGGGGTGCAGGAAGGGGCAGAGAACGGGGTGTAGGGATTAGGGGTGCAGGAGGGGGAACAGGCATTAGGGGCAAAGGGGCACAGTGCAGGGGTTGGGGGGAAGGGAGGGTGGGGAGTCTGGGGAGCCCACGGGGGCCAGGGGCATTGGGGGGGTGCCATGCTCACAGGGGCCAGGACACCAAAATGCAAGTTCTCCCAGGGTGCCATTTCCCCTAAGGCTGGCCCTGTTCCTGAACAATGCAAAAGTTGGCCCCTGGGTTGCACACAGAGCCCTGCGAGATGGGAATGGCTATTAAACCTCAACATCTCCCATAAAAGCCATTAAAAAACAAACCAAAACAGACTCAAACTTCACAGCTTAGCTTAGGTACTAGGAGAGAATTTTTCTACCACAGTAGAAGTGAATTGGGTACAGCATTCCTGAATGATGATATCCTGATTAGAGAGGCATCCTCCATACCTCTCATCTGTATAGACACACACCCAAAGGCGTTAAGGACAATAACAGATTTGTCTAAACCAGGGTGCTCAGCTCACAAAAGCTGAGGATTTCTACTAAAATGATCGGCAGTGAGATTAGCACTGACTCCTGATTGTCATCATTAGGCTTCAGCGTTAACAATGCATTGTGATGACTAGGCACAGTTCACACATCGCTGAGAAGTGTTAGAGGGCCTGTCACTGTGCCATGACTGATGTCCCCAACTGCTTAACGGTCACGCAGGAGGATCTCAAAATTACAAACCACTTCACCCAGCACTAATACGCAGCCACTTCTGGAGTGGAATGCAGCTGCTAGCTAACAACAGCAGCAGCAATGCCACGAGGAAAACAGGACCTCAACCCACTGAATGTGCAGGAGGAAATTCCTAGGCTGCCGGAGGCACTCACCCACACTGGAATTTAGCCACGACACTGAGGTTCCCACAGCTATGCTTGTGAAACAGGCTGTGATCTTTAATGAGCACAATTGGTCAGCACCCCCATTTCCCCTCTCCCAACCCCTGCCCTGAGCATTAGGCTGTCCTGCCTCGCCCTGACTGGTCCCTGGTACAGACCAGCTCCAGCCCTCCCCACACTGTCGATCCGAGAGGATCACAGCTGCCAGGTGGTGACACCAACGTGTTAACAGGACAAATGGGTGCGGCACCGTTTCTCTTTGCAAGTCAGCTCTTCTGGACTCTGTCAGTGACAACCAAGGCAGGTCCCTGAACAATGGGCGTTTGCCGAACGCAAAGACAATGCTTGTATCTTGTCAGCCAGCTCCATTGTGGTCCTGCAGCGGGGTTGTACAGAGACACAGACGTTAATAAAAAGCCACTTGTATCAGCTAGGAATCAAACTGAGGCCTGCCAAGGAACAGAGCAAGAGTTCTACTGCTGAGCCACCAGCTTGACCAGACCCCACCCGAGGGCTCGCAGACATGAGCTAGGAGTACATTTCTCTCTTGCTTGTGGGAGGCCCAGCATCTCCCACACTGGAGACAGTGCAGAGAAAGCGGATCCCTGTACAACTTGGAAGCAGGGACTGTTGATTTTCAGTTTATCCCGTGTCCTGGGCCCCAGTCCTGGTCTGGCCACTCTTCTCCTATAAACCATAGCAACAGCTCTACGATTGGATCTAGACCAGGGACAGCAACGGTGGGGAATGTTTGCGAGGGGATTTGGCCAGGAATAATTGCCTGGGAAAGTCCCTGGGATTTTTAATGACAAATGTTCAGGGTTTTCATTTAGCTGAAGGCCGCAGAGCAGAGCAGAGCAGCACGCTGCCATGTGAATACGATGGGGAACCTACTCAATCAGCCATGCCAGTGAGCACAGAACCTGCCTTTCCTTAGGGGCTAAAATAGCCCAAAGCTCTGGGCAAGCCTAGGCTCCCAGCCCGTGATGGAACAGAGCCAAGTTACAGGATAACAGCATGTGATGTCAACAGCCCTTAAAACTCCTGTGAGATTTCTACAGGGGAGAAATATCCCTAAAGAGGGACCTTTATTTTAAAAGATTGCAGTTCCCTTCCCGACTGCAGTTCAACAGGGCTGCAAAAGAGAAGGCAAAAAGAAAAAGACACAGCTGCATTGGCCGGGAATCGAACCCGGGCCTCCCGCGTGGCAGGCGAGAATTCTACCACTGAACCACCAATGCTCTGCCTGCCCAGAGCCTCCTCCCAGCTGGCTGAACCCTCCCGGAAGTGGTGCTGGAAACCCCACCTGCATCTCCCCATACAGCGAGTGCATTGCTGCACCGGCAACAAGGGGCCGGCTGTGCCACGAGACCGCAGTGAGCCGCCCTCAGGGCACCAGCAACTGGCCCAGAGAGAGCAACAGCAGCTCACGGCCCAGGACAGCACTGCAGAGACTGCAATCTGCCCCTCGGGCTGGCCGCTGGCTCCACCCTGAGCCGCCCCACAAGGAGCGGAGGGGAATCCACCAGGCTGTACCGGGAACCAGCTCGCTGCTCCCCTGAGCGCCTCTCACTGGCAGAGAACTCGGGGGGGGGGGCTCCTGCAGTGGGGAAATCAGCCCCCCCTAGGGTGACCAGATGTCCTGATTTTATAGGGACAGTCCCGATATTTGGGGCTTTTTCTTATATAGGTTCCTATTACCCCCCACCCCCCGTCCTGATTTTTCACACTTGCTGTCTGGTCACCCTAGCCCCCCCAGGCAGCAAGCCCACTATCAGGCCAGGCCCCTTTGGAGGGCGCTGGCCCCGCCCAGCATGTGCCCTGCAGCCCAGGGCCAGGGTCAGGCTCCTTCCAGACCGTACAGACACTAGAGGGTGCTCCAGTTCACTGCACCCCCCAGCAGCTGCACGCTAGAAGGTTGCAGGCTGGGCCGTAAAGCCGCCGCCGGGGTTAGGGCCGCAGGGAAGGGTAAAGCCCAGCAGTGAGCAGCGTGTGGCTGCAGGCTCCCTCCTCAGGCCTGGCTCTCTCCCATGCAGCTCTCACGGATTTCAAGGCTGCCCCCGCCCCAGGGCCTGACTTCAACAGCGCTGCCCCCTCCCCACCAGCCGCCCAGCACCCATTTGCTGGGGAGACCACCAGCCCCCCCGAGATGTTCCTGCTGTGGGTGTGTCATTAATGGTGTTGGCTGCAGTAGTACCTGGAGACCGGGCTGAGATCGGGGCCCTGTCGTGCTAGGCGCTGTACAAACAGAGCAATAGAAACCCCCTGCCCTGAAGAGCAGCCAGACACACGGAGTGTGTGTGTGTCGGGCGGGGGGGGGGTGCTCATGTGGGCCAGCTGCCATATCCACAGCACAGCGTGTGCATGCAGCCCATGCGGGTGCCAAGTGCGCAGGGTGTGTCTGGCCCATAAACAGCATCTCAGCTCCCCCATCGCCCACGGCCTCCCCGGGCACAGCCCTGGTGCTGGGGCCCCATGGGGGGAAGGGTGGGAGGAGTTGAGCTCCCTTTGCCAGGGGCTGCTCTGTGTCTGGAGCCCAGTGCAGTGATTAAAACCCGCCTGCAGCCCCGTGCGGGAGGGAGGGGTAACGTGGGATCTGCTATCTGGGGTGTCGGGAAGCCCGGCTCCCCTCTGACAGGAGCCAAGGGAATGGGGTGAGGAGGAACTGAGGGGCCAGGAGCCCCAACGAATAACCTCACCGGGGGCCTCCCAACCCGCCAGCCACCCCAGGAGGACACAGCCACAGGTGGGCTGGGGCAGGCCTGCCCCTTTCCAGGCTGCCCGGTCACAGCAAGAGTCACCCCAGGGCAGCTCCTCACCTGGGGCTGGCCCCGGGGTCTGCCCTGGCTCCCCACTTCACCCCGCCCTGCTGTTTGGCCCCCGGGCGGGTATTCGCTGAGCACTGCACGAGACATGGGAATCGAACCCAAAGGGGGGGGTCCTGGGGCCCCAGGAGGTTCCCCACCTGGTTGCAGTTCTCGTACTCCTCAGCCAGCTGATCAAAGAGGAGGCAGAGATCTCGGGTGTACTCCCAGGCCGGGTGCTTCTCCAGCAGCACAGCCCGGATCTTCAGCAGCACCTGGGAGTTCACACTGAGCCACAGGAAGCGCAGGGACAGCTCGCCGACGTTCCGATCCCGCTGGGGAGCACGAGGGGACAAGGGTCACGCACGGCCGCCCTCTGGGGGAGCCTCCTGAGGGACTGCTGCCCTGGAGAGCACCTGAGCCCACACCCAGTCCTGCCCCCGGCTGCTTTGCCTTTTCCACTGCAGCCTCCAAGCGCGTCTGCAAGTGCCCCCAGCTGGCATGTGCCTTGTTCTCTGCACTATCCGGATTCAGTGGCCCTGCTTGCCAGCTTGCTCCTGGGATCAGATCATCCCTAAGCCCTGGGGAAAGCCAGACCCAGACTTGGCAGCTGCCCCCAGATCCTGACCCCCAGGCGTGAGCAACATTCAGAACCCAACACCCCTGGCCTCTGCGAAGTTTGATTCCTCCTCAAAGCATCCCTCCCTCTCAACCCAGCATTTAACCTTCGCAGCTGCTCCCTAGCTGGAAACTGGGGAGAGCTGAGCCCTAGATGGCATCACCCTAGAAGTTCACGCTGCTATGGGACTGTTCGATTCCTGCTTGGGGCCCAGTGAGAACCAGGGATAGCCACGGCTAATTGCCGAAGTGTCCTGGATGAAAAGCCCCAATGCCCAGGCCAGGTGTCAGATGCCATCCAAGCCTGGCACAGATTTTCCTGACCCTTGCGGTACCTCCGCCAGCCCAGAGGCAGTGAGGGATTTCTAGAACGCATGGGCCTTGAGGCTGAGAACCGGGGTCTCGGCCAGCTAAGGGAGCAGTTATTCAGAGCGCCCGTAGAAAGACCGCGGCGCTGACAGCAGAGCTGTTCCCAGGTGAGCTGGGACACCGGGATGGTAAACAGCCTGAGGATGGACAGTGAGCACCGGACACCTTACCAGCCTGGTAATGTTGGCCACCCTGAGAACCTCTTCGAACTGGACATTCACGGTGTAGTTGATGGGGAAATAGTGTTTCTGCAAAGGCAAGAAAAATAAAATCCTAGCAGCGAACTAAAAGCTTCTCTCTTCCCCGGATCCTCCTGGGCTGTGCCCCCATCAGCAACTGCTCCTGTCCTCTCCCCCTGCCTTGACGGGGAAGCGCGTACCCTGCTAGGCACCTGGGGCACGTTTCCTTGTGAGTAAACAAATACTGAAAACTAATTTGGGCTGTAACGCCTGGAACAGGGGTGCAGCCACCTAATGCCGTGACACTGTCACTATACGCCACGGGGACCTTCCTGCTCCAAAAGTCCCAACCACTTGAGCTAAAGGAGAATCGTCAGGAGCTGCCTGCAGTCTAGGGCCTGTGACACACAGCTGGGCACTTCTGACTCAAGGCAGCATTGCACAAGTCAGTTTGCCCTCCTCGGGGCCTGCAGCACCTTCTTGGATATTTGAAAATGAGCGCCAAATAGTTTGCACTTGGGTACCTGGTCATGCACCTAAATCAGGGCTTGGAAATTAACCCACCAGCAGCCCCAGGAGGGACCCTGCTAGGCAGGGCAAACGTCAGCAGGAACTGCTGGGGGCTCAGCACTTTAGAAAACCAGGGCTTCGAGTTGGCGTCCAAGATGGGCAGTTAGCAGGTTGGCGTCGGGCTGCTCGTTTGGAAAATCTTGGCCCCGGAGAAGCCGAAGGGGGATGAAACAGGAGACGGTTCCGATTCCATGGCCCCCACCAAGCATTCAACGCGCTATGGGCAGAAAGGCAGAGGCCGCACTACTGCCAGAGACACGTCTGGGCCTTTGGAAAGGGAGTCACACATCAAGCAGTAACGTAGCCTGAGCCTAGGGGGGAAGAATTACCATGTACTGGAGCCGTTGCTGATACGTCAGTTTGTTCTGGAGAGCCTCAATAATCCTGCATTCCTTCTGCATTGCAGCCTCCAACCCCAGGACAGCCACGAAATCTGCAAATCACCGCCCCCACACCCGAGGGCGAACAAGAGGTGTAAGGCCATGCACCAGCTGGCTCCCATCACACGCTGGAGGCCAGGAGGAACAGGCTTAGGCTGCAGAGCAGGGCTCGGAAGAGGAGGGAAATCGGTCAGGGTTTCAAAGCAGCAGCCTGGGGAGGGGAGGGCGAGACAACTGGCCCCACGGCTCAGGGTCATTTGAACGAAGGGGAGAGCGGAGAACATTCCCCCGCCTGGCTGCGTCCCTGAACAGCGCGTTGGGTCCCACCCGCTGAGCGCATGGACCAGCGCTGGGACTTCGGCCCTGGGTGGCTGTTATCCAGATCCTCCCTTGCATCCCTGCGTGGGCCCTCTGGCCATCCCGGCCTCTCTGGGACAGCCCCCGCGGGGCCCACAGCAGGTCCGAGCGCGCCAGCCAGTGGGAGGCACAGCCGTGGGCTGGCACAGCCATGGGCTGCGTGGGGAAAGGGGCTTGGCCTGGTGCTGTTGGGATTGGGAGGGTATTGTTCCTGGCGCTCTCCGAACCAGAACAGGGCCACAGGCGCATCCCTCCCCCCGCCCTGGATGTGATGGGGGAGCGAGCGCCCCGTCGTACTCACAGAGGAAGGGCGCGTAGCCCCGCTGCATGCTGACGGCGTGTGTCCGGGCAGCGAGCAGACGGACAATCCGGCCTACATGACAATGGCTGCGTCAGCGGGAACGGCCTCCCACGTGCCGGGAGAGATTCCAGTGGATGCCCCGGGACGCTGCTGCCGAGGAAGGCCCTGCAGGCTCCCTGCAGCCCCTGCTCTCTAGGGTGCCGTGCGCGTTCGCTGCAATTGGGCGAAAAGCTGCTGCCAACCTGCTCCCATCGCAAGGTGCCAGGAGGAAGGAACAACCCAGACCCGGGTGAATGGCTGGAGGCGGCGGCTCCCCGAGGCTGGTGGGGGTGGGCAGTGCTAGTGTTCTCCTCCGTCTGCCCCTGAAGCCGGGCTCTGTAACGGGAGACGGGTGATAAACCACATGGAACCAATGAGAGGCCGGCGCACTGAGCGGGGGTAGAGCGCCTCGGAGCTCTGAACTCGGCCGTTCGCTAATAAACAGAGCCCCAGAGAGCTCTGCTGTGGGCCAGCTGCCCCCGGTGCTCACCTCCACCCACAGCTGGCTGCATTTCCGGGGCACTGTACATCGACGGGATCAATTTGTTTGACCTACTTCTACCGATCAAACCATTTTTGCCGGTCCCTCAGGTGGTGGCTTAGACAGGTCTCAGCGCGCTAAGACCAAGGAGAAGCGCACAAACGACAAACGCTGTCTTTGACGGCTGGACGCCAGCTCATGCTGTGATGCTCTGCATGTGCCTCATCACCCCAGAACTTGTACCTGGTGCTTTACCAGATCCCCTAATGTCTGTGCCAAGGGCGAAATACCCCCCTGATGCCCCACAGCAGAGATCCCCAAACGTTTGAGGGTCGTGCCCCTCCTTATCCCTGTCCGTGCCCCGCCGGAGCCAGGCCGCGGCTCGGGGTGGGGGGGTAAAGGGGCCAAGGCTGGGGCTGCAGGTGGGGTGGGTCTGAGGCTGGGAATGGAGCTGCAGCCAGCAGCCAAGGCTGGGGGCGGAGGTCGGGCCAGGAGCGTAGCTGTGCCAAGGCCGGGGATAGGGCCAGGTGCGGGGTTGGGGGTCAGGAACATGGCTTGGGGAAGGACAGGAGCAGAGCTGGGGCCAGGGAGGGACTGGGTGGCGCTCCCTCCCCACCCCCCGTGGGGGCTGGCCCAGGCCCCTCTGTGCCCCCAAAGATATTGCTCAGTGCCCCTCTAGGGGACCATGCCCCACAGTTTGGGGACCTCCACCCCAAGGATTTCCAGTGCAACATCTGCACTGGCGCCATTTGCACCCCAATCATACAGCAGAGATCTGTGCGGCTGATTAGAGCCAGGAGAACCCTGCCCTCGGTGGGTCCAGACACAAGCCTTGTTTTAATGCGCTATGTGGCCATGCGCAGCTGGGCACGTCTTCTAGGCAGCAGAAGGGCAGGGTAAGAGCAAAAATGTACAAATATACAACCGGTTCAGATGACCTAGATTAGCTAATGCTGTGAGGTCTGGCCCTGAGCCAGAACTACTGGAGTGAGTTCCAGGGATGGGGCCTTTTGACTGGTGAGAGTGTCCAGAAAGGAAATCCCAGAAACAGGCAATATGCTAGGTGGAATCTATGCTACTGCTCCAAGGACCTTGTCTGGGAGGAGGTAGAACAAGCAGGATACACCCCTCAACACCGGATACACTGTGACTTGCTTCCTTCCCCTAAGCCACAGAACATCTGGACAGAGAGATAGCTCGGGAGCCTGACTGGCCACCGGGGAAGCCCTCCTACTAGTAACAACCCGTTTGAAAACGGCCACGTTCTTTAACGGCCTTGCTGCTTCAGTCCATTGGTTACTAGAGAAGGCTGCAGTCATGACACCAAGTTCTCACAGCCTGTTGGACTGAGAGCTGGCCAAGTCACATCCAGCACCACCCTGCACGTGTCTGGATTGTCACTGGAATGACATGGTCAATTTAAGCTACTCAGACAGGGCCCCTGGGCTACAGAAACGTGCGCCGGGCTCAATGGCTTCAACCACGTAACGGGGCATTTTCTTGTGGGCAAACAACAAGTTTCACATCCAGCCCAACAGCAGCAAGGATTGATCCCAAGTGACTGATGGGAGTCCCTGAGCTGAGATCTTCAAACTTGTTCCATGTAATGTGAAAGCTGAGATAGTAGCTAGTTATTAGGTGGCTCAGTCCTGGGCATAGAGGAGTCTGTGCCCTTCGGGCCGGATCAGAGCTCCAGTATAAAACTGCAGAAAAACCTGAGAGTCTCTGGATTAAGTTTAGAAGTGTGAGCAACAAGGGTGATGTCGTGGTGAGAATCTGCTATAGACCACCTGTCATAACTATAAAGGGAAGGGCAACAGCCCTCCTGTGTACAATACTGTAAAATCCCTCCTGGCCAGAGACTCCAAAATCCTTTTACCTGTAAAGGGTTAAGAAGCTCAGGTAACCTGGCTGACACCTGACCCAAAGGACCAATAAGGGGACAAGATACTTTCAAATCTTGGGGGGGGGAGGCTTTTGTTTGTGCTCTTTGTTTTGGGGGAGGGTTCGCTCTTGGGACTAAGAGGGACCAGACATCAATCCAGGTTCTCCAAATCTTTCTGAACAAGTCTCTCATATTTCAAACTTGTAAGTAAACAGCCAGGCAAGGCGTGTTAGTTTATCTTTGTTTCTCAACTTGTAAATGTACTTTTTACCAGAGTGTGTATCTTTGTTTGCTGTACTTTGAACCTGAGGCTAGAGGGGGGTCCTCTGAGCTCTTTAAGTTTGATTACCCTGTAAAGTTATTTTCCATCCTGATTTTACAGAGATGATTTTTACCTTTTTCTTTAATTAAAAGCCTTCTTTTTAAGAACCTGATTGATTTTTCCTTGTTTTTAGATCCAAGGGGGTTGGATCTGTATTCACCAGGAGTTGGTGGGAGGAAGGAGGGGGGATGGTTAATTTCTCCTTGTTTTAAGATCCAAGGGGTTTGGATCTGTATTCACCAGGGAATTGGTGAAGGTCTCTCAAGGCTACCCAGGGAAGGGAATTAGCTTTGGGATGGTGGCAGCAGACCAGATCTAAGCTGGTAGTTAAGCTTAGAAGTTTTCATGCAGGCCCCCACATTTGTACCCTAAAGTTCAGAGTGGGGAAGCAGCCTTGACATGGTGGCAGAGCGGTGGGATCATTTTAAACCAAAAGCCAGTAAGATTTTTTCCCCCTCCTTTCTAGCTGCCTGGAAAGCAGAGCTGAAGGTAGATGCATATCTTATCTCTCCTTGCCTGAAGGCAGAGGGGTTAAGTTTTTTTTAACAAGGGTCTTTGTTAAGAGAAGGGTTCAATCAGTGAGCAAACAGCTGGTAAAAGGAATTTACAAGCTGAATTGTTTTTTTTCTTTCTACCTCTCGGGGATAGCCAGTTAGAAAGTCTCTGTTACCTCAGCAGCAGCCTGAGCTGAGTGCATCCCAGTTTCAGTCAACTGCAGAGGAGTGTGGCCCAGCACAAGAAAACAGGAAAATGACTACCAAAGAAGTAGCTAACAAAATAGCCAGACTAGAAGCAGAAGAAAATGAAAAAAAACATCAGAGACTGCTTCAATTAAAAAAACTCGAGCAAGAAGCTGAAGAGAAAGCCAAAGAGGAGGCCCACAAGATAGCTATGGAGCTGAAAGAAAAAGAGATGGAGCTGAGAGAAAAAGAGATGAAGCATGAACTGGAATTAGCATGGGCTAGGCCGAATACAACAGCCAATCCTAACAACCCCTCTCCAGGTACCACTTCCCATCCCAGGAAATTCCCCACCTACAAGGCAGGCGATGATACTGAGGCCTTCTTAGAAAATTTTGAAAGGGCCTGCCTTGGATACAGCATCACTCCAAACCAGTACATGGTAGAGCTGAGGCCGCAGCTCAGTGGACCCTTAGCAGAGGTGGCGGCTGAAATGCCTAAGGAACACATGAACAGTTATGAACTTTTTAAAAACAAGGCCAGACTCAGAATGGGGCTAACACCCGAGCATGCCCGTCGGCGGTTCAAAGCCCTAAGGTGGAAACCAGACATGTCATTTACCCGGCATGCCTACCACATTGACAAAAATTATGATGCCTGGGTATCAGAAGCAAATGTTAAATCTCTGGAAGATCTGGTTTCCCTAGTAAAAATGGAGCAGTTTTTAGAGGGTGTTCCTGAGGAAATAGAAAGGTACATCCTAGATAGGAAGCCCAAAACTGTAACCGAGGCGGGGGAGATTGGAGCCAAATGGGTGGAGGTGGCAGAAAAGAAAAAAGCTAGTAGCAGTTGGAGCGAATATCAGAAGGGGCAAGCCGAAACAAAACCTTACCACCGGGGCCAACCGAAGGCCCCACCCACATTCCAAGGGAAACCCCAGACGCTTTCTCACCCCACCACACCAGTCTCCACCAACCAACATCACCCCGGTGATACCTTAGCAGGGCGATGTTTTAAATGTAATGAACTGGGACATATAAAGGCTCACTGCCCCAAGAACCCCAACCGATTACAGTTCATTACACCACAATCGCACCAAAGATCCCCAGACCCAGATGCCTCTCTCATACCCTCGGAGCGAAGGGAAACCTTGAGAGTGGGCGGAAAGAAGGTTATCGCTTGGAGGGAAACTGGGGCACAAGTGTCAACTATCCACCAATCCCTAGTGGACCCCAAACTCATCAACCCGGAGGCTCCAGTGACAATTCAACCCTTCGTGTCACAGTCTGTAACCTTGCCTACAGCCAAGTTGCATGTCCAGTACAAGGGCTGGTCAGGAATGTGGACTTTTGCAGTCTATGACAATTATCCGATCCCCATGCTGCTGGGGGAAGACTTGGCCAACCATGTGAAGCTAGCCAAGAGGGTGGGAATAGTCACCCGCAGCCAGGCTAAGCAAGCTTTCATCCCTATCCCTGTTCCTGAGCCGTCCACCAGGGCCCCGTCTGTGTTACCAGAGACCCAAACAAAGGTGGTGGAACCGGATCCCCTGCCAACGACTGCAACAGCCGTAGTGGATCCAATCCCAGAGACCCAGCCAAAGGCAGTCCCAGAACCGGAA